CCACAGAAGGGTCGGCGAAACCTGCGGCCGCTGGGGGTGCGGCCACAGGTTAAGCTGGTGAGCGGCGTAGCGCACGGCGAACGGCCACAGAAAATGGGGTGCACCGGCGTGGATCATGGAGGTGCGAGCCACCTCCATGACCAAACCGATGCATCGCTCAGCGACCCCATTCTGCTGCGGGGAGTCCGGCAGGGTAAACGTCTGGGTGATGCCCTCCGCACGACAGAAGCGACCAAGGACACCTGAGGCAAACTCGCCACCCCGGTCGGAGTGAAGGCGCAAGGCAGGGAGACCGCGGTGGACACGAGCAGAGACAAGCCAGGGGATGAGAACGTCAGGCACGTCGGCCTTCCGCTCCAGGGGGAAGACGGTGGTGTAGCGCGTGAAGTCGTCGACAAGCACTAGGAAGAAGCGCTCGCGACGCGGCCCATGGACCGGGGCTGGGCCCCAGACGTCCATGTGCAGAGTCTGCAGTGGTGCGGCGGTAGGGGGAAAAGAGGAGGAGTGAGGGGCACGGCGGAGCCGGCCCTCGACACAAGGCGTGCACGGTGGGGCGGGGGAGGAGGGAAACTCGGGGAACGAACCGGGGAGACCAAGGACGAGACCGTGCTGGGACATGTGACGCAGACGTGGGAGTGCAGGGTGACCAAGGCGGTGGTGCCAAAGGAGAGTCGGGTGAGTGAGGGACCGACAGGAGCACGCGGCTGCAACCTGGGTGGACGCAGCTACCGGGGGGGAAGACCCAGCCGGGGACGGCGCGGTGTCAAGTGTGAACAGGCCGGACACCGGGTCCCGGGGGAAAGTGGTAAGGGGGGCACCAGTGGCGGCCTCGGTACAGACAGCATACCGCTCGTGACCAGGGAACGTAGTGGTGACGCCAAGGTCCTGGAGGCAGCCGACACCAACTAGGTTCCTGGAGAACGAGGGGATATGCAGACCTGTGAGAGTGCCCGAAGGAACCGCCGGACAGGGAAGGGAGGTGGAACTGCGGGCAACGACGGGACCACCGGAGGGGTCAGCAAGAGTAACTGCAGCGGGAACAGGCAGCGGCGTCAGCGTCGTGGAGTCGCGGAAGAAACACCGGGAGGCGCCAGAGTCCAAGGTGAAGGAAAGCGCAGCAGTCGCGCGAGGCAGCAGTGAAGCGGTGGAAGCACCAAGGCTAAGCAAAGCAGGAGATCCTACGCCTGACGCAGCAGGGGAGTCTACGCTAGGCACCGCTACACTAGGCAACACGGGATAATAAGAGGGAAGCACACTAGAGTCATCAGCATACATCACATGCAAGGCCGCTACAATGGCATCCATGTCCAAGTCAAAAATCCTAATGCTACGCCTAAGCAAGCTGTGCCAGTCCGGGAGGTCGGGCGCCGGGCCAAAGCGCTGGCGGAACAGGTCGTCCAGGCGACGAAAACAGCGAGGAGTAGAATGACCGATCTTACCGCAAACGAAGCCGCGGCGAGGACCGGTCTGGATCTGGTACTGACAGGGCCCGCCTCCAGAACCACCGCCCGGTGCACCACCACGCGCACGACCACCACCAGCTCCAGGCCACCCAGGTGGGAGAGTACTCGCCTGCCTCGTCTGCGGCGGCTGCTGCGGCTGCTGCGAAGGCTGCGGCTGCGGCGACTGCTGCTGCTGCGGCTGCTGCAACTGTGGAGGCAGCGGGGCAGCTGGACCGGGCAGGGTCCCCACGTCCGCACCGGCACCGGACGACCCGCCTCCACCACTACCCCCACCCGCACCCCCGCCGCCTCCGCCGCTCCCAACCTTGGGGCGGCGGCCCTTCGCCGAGCGGGACTGCACTGCAGCAGCAGTCTCAGCCACAGCGACAGAGCCGTCGGAGAAGGTACACTGAGCGGGGGCACAACCCTGAAAGATAGGGACCGGTACTGTACCGCTCGCCAGGGCTATGGAGCGGTGACGAGTCTCTATGGCAGTCAGGGTGTCAACAAAGTCGGTGAGGGTGAGAGCAGCAGGGTGGATGCTAAGGAACTGGTCGCGGGCGGCGGCAAGGCGGTCAGGTAGGCGGGTGGCAAGGAGGTAGAGGGTAGAGGTCATGGGAGGCTGGTGGACTCTAAGCTGAGCATCAGTGCAGGCAGCGCGCCAGGCCTCATCTATCGAGCGCAGGTGGGCAGCGAGGTCAGAGACAGTGGGGAAAGACGCCAGGTCAGGAAAGAGCAGGGGAAGGATCAGGCGACCCACTGAGGCAGCAGGAGGGGTAGAATAGCGCTTGATGACAGCATCGAGGTAGGCCTGGGCGGTAGGAATGGTTCTAAAGCGAGGGCGCTCAGTGGGGGGGAGGGCATTGCTAATGGCGAGCTGAGCAAGGGCATCGCGGGAAAGCCAGACAGAGCGGGCAAGGGCAGCAGCGGCAGTGGGCTCGCGCTCAGCGGGCGTGGGATCAGCGGGCAGCACAGCAGGGGGGTCAGGGCAGGGGAGCATACCGTCTAGGTGTGCAGAAAGCGGGTGGCCGTCCTGCCGCTGGCCAGTGAGGTGGCGGCGAAGGTCAGCCAACCACGCCTCGAACTCCAGAGGCTGACCCTCAACATCAAAACGAAGCTCAGCAGCCATGAGGGGCAGTGGAGGACAGTGCAGTGCGGTGCAGTGCGATGCAGTACGGTGCAGTGCGGTCCAGTGCGATGCAGTGCGATGCAGTGCGGTGCAGTGCGGTCCAGTGCGGTGCAGTGCGGTCAGTGCGATCCAGTGAGGTGCAATGCGATGCAAGGCGGGGCAGGAAAGTGCAGGAGGGTGCAAAGTGGTGCGGGGAACGGGGGACAGTACCAGGAAGTATGGAGGGCCGGGGCAGGTGCGTCGGGGCCGGGCAGGCACGACAAGGCCGAGCGGCGGCGACGGGGCCGGGCGGCGGCGACGGGGCCGGGCGGCAGCGACAAGGCCGGGCGGCTGCGACGTGGCCGGGCGGCTGCGACGGGGCCGGGCGGCTGCGACGGGGCCGGGCGGCAGGGACGAGGCCGGGCCGGACACAGCAGGGCCGGGCAGGGGCGACGGGGCCGGGCGGCTGCGACGTGGCCGGGCGGCTGCGACGTGGCCGGGCGGCTGCGACGGGGCCGGGCGGCTGCGACGGGGCCGGGCGGCGGCGACGGGGCCGGGCGGCAGGGACGGGGCCCGGGCAGGCCACAGCAGGGCCGGGCAGGGGCGACGGGGCCGGGCGGGCGAGCAGGGGCCGGGCAGGTGCGACAGGGGCCGGGCAGCCGCGACAGGGGCCGGGCGGGCGCCACGCGGCCGATAGGCCGCGACCTGGCCGAGCAGGGGCGACGGGGCCGAGCAGGGGCGACAGGGCCGAGCAGGGGCGACGGGGATGGGTAGGGGCGCGACGGGGCCTGGAGGGGCGTTACCAAGCCCAGGTAGGGGCGCGACGGGGCCTGGGGGGAGCGCAATGGGGCCCAGGAGGGGCTCTACGGGGCCTGGGAAGAGCGCGACTGGGCTATGGAGGGGCGCGACGGGGCCTGGAAGGAGCACAATGGGGCCCAGGGGGGGGCGCGACGGGGCCTGGGAGGAGCGCGACGGAGCCCTGGAGGGGCGCTACCAGGCCCTGGAAGGGGCGCGACGGGGCCTGGAGGGGCGCTACGAAGCCCTGAAAGGGGCGCGACGGGGCCTGGAGGGGCGCTACGAAGCCCTGGAAGGGGCGCGACGGGGCCTGGGAGGAGCACAATGGGGCCCAGGAGGGGCGCTACGAGGCCTGGGAGGAGCGCGACGGGGCCCTGGAGGGGCGCTACCAGGCCCTGGAAGGGGCGCGACGGGGCCTGGAGGGGCCCTACGAAGCCCTGGAAGGGGCGCGACGGGGCCTGGAGGGGCGCTACGAAGCCCTGAAAGGGGCGCGACGGGGCCTAGGGAGGGTCGCGACGGGGCTAGGGAGGGTCGCGACGGGGCTAGGAGCACGACGGGGCCCAGCTAGAGGGGCGAGCGGAAGCGTGAGGGGGGGGGGGGGGGGGGATCCTACCTACGTGTGATACCATATCAAACAGTGAAATTGATAAATAGAGAGAGAGAGTACACAAACATATATCTAACTGTTGTACTCTCTAGAAGATGACCCTATACAGTCTATACAAGCATGATAACTAAACATGTTTGACACCATCATTCAATTTTTCAATTTGATAGAGGCGATCCGATTTGTCACAGTATCGATCGACGGTTTGGATTTTGTCTCCAGCTTCAACACAGTGAGAAAATTATTGCCTTCGTTTCGATTGGACGGAAGCTTGCCACTTGGCGAATTGCCACCCCACCCCACGCTTCTGTGAGCGTTCAAGCCCACGCTCCTCACATTTCAAAATGTTTTCTAGTTCCTCTTTCGCGCTACTGTTTCCCCGCAGCCCCCTTTCTATTTCCTTCTTGCTCGCTTCCCGCCGTACTTTACATTTGCTACGGAATTCTCGGGAAAAAAAAGAAACGAAGAGGGTCTAAAGCTGGCTACACTGAAAAGGGGGGGGTCTTGTTAGTCGATTACCATAATAAAAGACCTACCCGCCAAAACACCCTATGGGTCCTCAATAAATCTGGTCTTATATCCGGGCGTTTACGGTAACTTAGGTCATTACTGTAGACTATACTGGATTGTGCTTTAGAGAGTACAACGCCCTAGTCTATATATACTTGAACACACACATTCTAGTTCAATCCTCTTCTTTCTGCCACATTCCATTGCCAATTATCAACAAAAACATGTGAATAGAATGGTATAGCCACTTTTTGCCCCACTACAATGCAAGATTAATCAATAAATAAGGTCAAATTTGTTCCATCATCGTGTGGCCAGTGGCGGTTTTTCTTTCATGCAAACACGCACTTGCTTTGCAAACTGACGATTCTTCACTTACGGTTGTAATCCATGTGCACCTGTCAGATGCAGATGTGTAGGCGCATGCTTCAACATGCGTATCATTAAGTTCCGACATTTATCTGGCGATCCATGCCCCATCGTTCCTGGGTGACGTGGTTCGCAATGCGAAAGTGACGGGCCTGGGATAGCAAGAGCCAAGCTACACAGTGCTTGGTGGAATCCGCAAATCACTCTAATGCCGCAAATCCGCCATGGAAGTTACAGGAATTGTACGGCATGTTTGGGATGTATGCTTCCTCCGTATTGGAGAGAATAATATGCAAGTATCGCGAATGGTATGTAATTCAGTGTATTGAACAATAGTTACAACGTGTCAAGCCATTTACGACACGACAATCTTGCCGGTCATGCCGGCGCCCTGGTGGGGCTCGCAGTAGTACTCGTAGGTGCCAGCAGCGGACAGCTTCACGGAGAAGGTCTCGCCGGGAGCGTTGATCAGGTCGGGGTGGGAGATGGCATCGGCATCAACGCCAGCAGGCACCTCATCCTCGTCGAAGACAACGTTGTGGGGGAAGCCAGCGTTGTTCTTGAAGACAATCTCCTCGCCGGCCTTCACGGTGGACACCTTGGGGACGAAGGCGAGACCGCCGTCGTTGGCACCCATCAGGATGGTTGCGGCATTGGCGCTGCCGGCAAGGAGCACGGAGGCACCGACGGCAACGAGGGCCTTGGAGGCATCCTTGAGGGACGCGCTCACGGGAGCAAGCTTCACGGCAGCGGGAGCGGCCTTCACCGCGACCTTCTGCACGGACACGGCCTTGAGGCCGGAGAAAGTCGGCAGGGAAGCGACGGCAGCCATCTCTGTGTGAGTGAGGGGAAACTAAGGCACGAAGCGTTGCTGGAGGGGAGAGTGCGAAGGGACACTGACTGCTCGTACATCGTACCCCCAAGATTGGTTATGTAGATCAGGTGGGTGAGGCAGGGAGCGGGTGAGTGCGGTGATGGGGAAGGAGGAAGATCCTCCACGTGGCACGATTTGGACAAGTATTGCTCGTACTACCACGTGGCTGTCAAAGGAGAGCGCACTTCAGATGACTTTGCCACGAAAGCCGTTTCCGTCACACGGAAGAACATGTCAGCAAATTGCTAAATCTTCGCTCTATCTAAGAATCCACACACGAATCGTCCAACCAATCAGCATGGCTGTGGGGCCTTTGAACCTATACATGAATGCCCTAATGACCTGGCAATGGAGAAGTTACAGCTTTGCTGGACAACTTCAGCATGTGCAACTAGCGTGCCACGTCAAAACAATTTGCCCACGAAATCACAAACAGAGGGTGTGGACGGCTGTATACCGAAGCGCTGCACCAAGGAGACGTTACCGTGTGTAACATGCTGTAAGAGTTAAGTAATTCCTTACTGTTTCATTTTTTTGGAACTCTTTCTGACTGCGCGGATGCTCCCAAGTCTGTGATGCGGGCATTTTCTACATGCTTCCAGACCCTGAAGTCTGAAATGAACATCAATATAAACTTTGATGAAGAAGGTCGTTAGAAGAAATGAACCAAGCTTTTATCAGACAGTGAAATTGATGAATAGAGAGAGAGAGTACACAAACATATACCTAACAGTTGTACTCTCTAGAAGATGACCCTATACAGTCTATACAAGCATGATAACTAAACATGTTTGACACACCCCCTGGACTGCATAGGGGAATGTTCTAGACAAGCAGCTCAGGGTGGCACTACTAGTCCAGCCTCTGAGACAAGGGTCTAAAAGACCAGTCAGAAGGAGTACAGGCAAGGCAAGAACTAGTACAGGGCGGCACTACTAGTCCAACCACTGTAAGAGGACACAAGTCCAGTCTGAGTGTACACACAGATATATATAGGGCAGTACAAAGTCAAGGCCCGAGTAAGTGAGAGACTACAGGAACCAGACCAAGCTGTACACAGTGCCGCTGATGATCTTTAGGCGCAAGCGCCTTCGTAAAGATATCAGCTGTGTTGGCACCGGAGGCTAAGTGTACTACGCGAGCCTGGCGACGCTGCTGTAGCTCACGCAGGAGGAAGTACCGCAGCTGGATGTGCTTCGCTCTGCCCTCGAGTCGAGGCTCCTGACACAGGAGGATCATGGCCCTGTTGTCAGCGTACAGGACCGGGGCAGAGCTAGGCCGCTCACCTAAGTCAGTGAGCAAGAAGGTCAGCCAGCGGAGCTCCTGTGCCGCCATGGCACCGGCGTAGATCTCAGCCTCACAGCTGGACTGGGCAACAGACGAGGAGCGGGTAGCTCTCCACGAGACAGCACCTGAGCCAAGGCTAAAGCAGTAGCCCTGGGAAGACCTGAGCGTCTCGGCGTCGTCTGCCCAAGAAGCGTCTGTGTGTCCAGTAAGGACCACTGGCCTGCGTCCGCCTAGCACTAACCCCATGCCCGATGTACTTGCAAGATAACGCAAAACCCTCTTAGCGGCAGACCAGTGCTGAGGTCGGTGTCTGCCTGTGGCCACGAAACGAGCCAGGATGCTGAGAGGGTATGCGAGATCTGGGCGAGTGCAAGTCATCAGGTACATGAGGCAACCCACTAGCTCAGCGTAAGGACCACTGGGATCTACCGACTCCTCAGGAACTGGAGCGGAGAGTCTGTGGTCCAGAGGAAGAGGGGTGGGCTGTGCGGAGGAGAACTGAAGGCCGAACCTCTGAAGGACCTGGCGCACCAAGTGTGACTGAGTCAGGGTGATGGTGCGCGCGGCTCTGTCCCTGGAGATCTGCAAGCCAAGGTAACGGCGCAGCTCTCCAAGGTCAGTGCAGGTGTGTCTCTTCAGCAGCTCTGCCTTCACGGAGGCCAGTGCGTCCCTGTCAGCAGTGGCAAAGACCAGGTCGTCTACGTAGACGAGGATGTAGAACGGAGTCGAGCCAGCACGAACGAAGAGCGAGGGGTCTGCAGAGGACGGAAAGAACTGCAGGTCAGCAAGGGTAGCACGCAAAGTGTCGTGCCACTCACGAGGCGCCTGGCGCAGGCCATAGACTGGCCGCCGCAGAAGCCACTGGGTCCCAGGGGGGAAGGTGCCAGTAAAGCCCTGAGGGCGACGCAGGTAAACTTGCTCGTGTAGACTGCCCTGAAGAAAGGCAGTGGAGAAGTCGAGGGAGTGAAGCTCGTAGTCACGCTGAGCCGCTACGTGTAGCAGCACCCGAAGAGTAGTCATCTTCGGGGTAGGAGCGAAAGTCTGAAAGAAGTCCACCCCCTCGCGCTGACTGAAGCCTCTAGCCACGTAGCGCGCCTTGAACACAGGCGGCTCTCCAGGAGGGCGCTTCACCTTGAAGAGCCAACGGCCATCGACCACGTTCACCCCAGGTGGGGGAACTGCGTCGACGAAGGTGCCGGTGGATCTCCAAGATGCCATCTCCTGCTCCATGGCAGCTATCCACTGAGAGGCCCAGGGTCCCGAAACCGCCTCAGCGTAAGTACGAGGGGTCGGGATGTCGAAAGCGTCTGGGTCACCCTCAGGGACTAGCAGCATGGAACAGAGATGGGGAGCAGCCTCGGACAGGAAAGCAAGCTCAAACTGGCGGTCCTCCAGGACGTCACTGCCGAGGGCAGGAGCACCCCCGACAGACGGAGGACAGGCAGGGTGAGAGACCAGAGCGGTGGCGTAGTCAAGGCGGCGGGTAGAGGCGAAGTCAGCGACCGCAGCGACGAGGGCGTCAAGACTCGACACGGGAACAGACGGGTCGGTAACGAGAGAGGCAAGGACCCGAGGAACAAGAGGACGAGCGGCACGAAAGGAGTCGGACAGAGGAGGAGACGCAACGACAAGAGAAGACGGAGGAGGAGACGGGAGGAGGGGAGGTCGAGACGCGTGGGAACGGAGCAACATAGGGTGAGAGCGCGGGACAGGGGAGACAGGACGAGCACGAGAGGGGCGGCGAGACCAGACGTGTGAGGGCGGCGTCGGGTCAGGAGACAGAGGAGGGGACACAGGAGGGGAACGAGGGGGAAGACGAGCCGGGGACGAGTCTGGCAGAGGGAACACGGGGCCGTAGACGGGAAGAGGGGGAGACGGCAGGAGAGGAACAGGCGCAGGGTCAGGAGACGGAAGGCCGAGCAGACGGAGGGCGGACACAGGCGGGGACTGCTGCTGCGGCGACACAACACCAACACCAGGGCCACAAGCTGCGCGACGGCTACCTCCCGAACCCTCCACACCTGCACCCCCAGAAGGGACACCCCCAGAGTCCACAAACGGCGGCAGCGACGACAGCGGCGGCGGCGGCGGCGGCTGCAGCGACGGCTGCGACGGCAGCGGCGGCGGAGACGACGGCTGCAACGGCGGCGGCGGTGGAGACGACGGCTGCAGCAGCTGCGGCGACGGCGGCTGCGGAGGCGGTGGAGGAGGAGACACCGGGGGAGGGACAGACGGCGAGGACTGCGCCGGAGGACTACCAGAGTCAGAAGACTCGTCGACCGGGACGACCGACGGGAGGGGGGTGACGTGAGACACACCAGAGGGGGCCGGACGGGGGGGCGGGGGGGGGGAGGGGCAGGGACCACCAGGGAGGGAGGAACCAGGAAAAGGGGGGGAGTAACCGGGGGACCACGGTGGGGAAAGCGGCGGTAGAAGGAGACGGACTCGTCAAAGGTGACGTCGCGAGAGTGAAAGAAGCGGTGAGACGGCGGGTGGTAGAAGTGCCAGTCGGACGCGTCAAGGGGGAAACCGAGGAAGACGCAGGGGAGGGTGCGGGCAGTGAGCTTGTCCGTGCCAGAGGCACGAACGTGAGCAAGGCAGCCCCAGACGCGGAACGCAGACGCGTCACCAGGGGACCCGGTCCACAGAAGGGTCGGCGAAACCTGCGGCCGCTGGGGGTGCGGCCACAGGTTAAGCTGGTGAGCGGCGTAGCGCACGGCGAACGGCCACAGAAAATGGGGTGCACCGGCGTGGATCATGGAGGTGCGAGCCACCTCCATGACCAAACCGATGCGTCGCTCAGCGACCCCATTCTGCTGTGGGGAGTCCGGCAGGGTAAACGTCTGGGTGATGCCCTCCGCACGACAGAAGCGACCAAGGACACCTGAGGCAAACTCGCCACCCCGGTCGGAGTGAAGGCGCAAGGCAGGGAGACCGCGGTGGACACGAGCAGAGACAAGCCAGGGGATGAGAACGTCAGGCACGTCGGCCTTCCGCTCCAGGGGGAAGACGGTGGTGTAGCGCGTGAAGTCGTCGACAAGCACTAGGAAGAAGCGCTCGCGACGCGGCCCATGGACCGGGGCTGGGCCCCAGACGTCCATGTGCAGAGTCTGCAGTGGTGCGGTGGTAGGGGGAAAAGAGGAGGAGTGAGGGGCACGGCGGAGCCGGCCCTCGACACAAGGCGTGCACGGTGGGGCGGGGGAGGAGGGAAACTCGGGGAACGAACCGGGGAGACCAAGGACGAGACCGTGCTGGGACATGTGACGCAGACGCGGGAGCGCAGGGTGACCTAGGCGGTGGTGCCAAAGGAGAGTCGGGTGAGTGAGGGACCGACAGGAGCAGGCAGCAGCAACCTGGGTAGACGCAGCCACCTGAGGGAGCGCTCCAGCCGGGGGGGTCACGGTGTCCAGAGTGAACAGGCCGGACACTGGGTCCCGGGGGAACGTGGACAGGGGGGCACCAGTGGCGGCCTCGGTACAGACAGCATACCGCTCGTGACCAGGGAACGTAGTGGTGACGCCAAGGTCCTGGAGGCAGCCGACACCAACGAGGTTCCTGGAGAACGAGGGGATATGCAGACCTGTGAGAGTGCCCGAAGGAACCGCCGGACAGGGAAGGGAGGTGGAACTGCGGGCAACGACGGGACCACCGGAGGGGTCAGCAAGAGTAACTGCAGCGGGAACAGGCAGCGGCGTCAGCGTCGTGGAGTCGCGGAAGAAACACCGGGAGGCGC